TCTCAACAGCAGGTGGCTCAGAATGTGCGCACCCCTGTTCTACAGCAACAGACTGCACAGTACGTGCAGACCCCTGCTCTACAACGCCAGGTTGCGCAGCAACACTGGCAGACTCTGCACTTCCTGGAACAGGTAAGGCCTGGTCAGTAGACTCAGATGCCGTATAGGGCTGACAGGCAGGGGCCGAAGCCACCCGCTCTAGAGGAACAGCGGCAGCAGCCAGCTGAACTCGTCGCTCATTGCAGGCATCAGCCGCAGCGAAGGCCTCGCAGAGTATTATGTCTTGTTGCTCTGTTGAACCCACAAATGCGGGGAGTAGCGCAGACACGAGAGTGTGAGCGTTGGTAGTAGCAGTAGCAGCATCAGACAGGAATGTGTCTGGGTGCGATAAGCAGGCCCTAGAGATGGCACTGCGCACTGCACGCTCAGTAACAACAGGTGCTGTGGCACCAGAGCTGGCAGCAGCAGGCACAGTGCTGGCAGAAGCTGCAGGAAGCGACTGACACTGCCCATACAGCACAGCAACAGCAAGGTGCTGCCTGGCTGCCTTTAACTCTGTACCACTCACCTTCTTGGGGCAGACCCAGTTGCCCTTGTCGTTTTTGTCCCAGGGACCATGGCCCTTCTGTTTGCACAGCCTACAGATGTAGTGGGAGGTGTCCTTCTTTTTGACGCCCCCTTTAGCTGCAAACTTGAATTTGCCGTTCTTCTTGCCATTGTTGTGACCATTGCCATTGCCAGTGAACTTGTTGCCACTTGCGTTGGACTTGGACGCGGCCTCTGACGCGTCAAACTGCAGGCCGTGTGCAATGTAGCCTGCGCGCCAATCAGCCTGCGTGTCGTATGCCTTGCCACCAGAAGTGGTCAGCGCGCTTGGTGCTCTTACGAGCAATAATCTGCTTGTCAGACGTGCAAGTTTCAAACTGCACTGACTCAAGCGCTGTGTATACAGCTGCCAGAGTCAAACCACCTTCAGGCATAACGCCATTGCGAATGCCCATAGAGTGGTAAGCGCTTGCCTGCACTGCGGGACCTGCAGCATGACAGGACTTTGGGGCCTTGATTGGCCTCAGAGATGTTCTCCAATTGAAACATCATGAGGTTGTTGTTTTTAAACACCTCGAGCGTGTATTCGCCCTCGCTGGTGTATTCTCTGAAGGGTTTGCTTGTACGAGCCACTACGGGGACTGGTATCTCGCCCTCCTCATTATCTGCCATTATTAGATTGGCAAATAGAATGTCAATATCCAGCGAATATGAATATGAACGTAAAGACCAAAAGGTCACGACGCAACTTGTTCTCAGCTACCAAATGTAGCAGCCTTACGAGTATGCGTGTGTGGAAGCGTAATGGAAAAGAGGTTTGTTAACCAATTGATAAGCCTGAGGCCCAGCTTAAGCTGTTGTAGACCGCCTACGTTGCGAGGCCAGCGTAGTTCTAACATGGCAGTACAATGTCACATTGACTGCCGCGTGTCCTCATAAGGAACGTATGAGTCACTTAGTCTAATCATCCAATACATGGATAGTAACAGGTCCTGTTACACATCACCATCAATCCGGTGGTAGCAGCACACAATATCCTGAAACAACTGCCAATGTGATGTGTTATATGCGTCACGTGGATATGCCTTCAGGAAACGTTTAGTATGATTGAAGCAACGTCCGACTTCGTAGCCGCGTCGCATACGATGAATGCACCTTGCTGCCTCTAACACAAAGCATGCTTTATGCATCACAATGCGCATCAGGTGACAAAGTCTGCCATGTAATATGTTGTATGCCTGCGCTCGTGTCTTGCAAGACGTAACATGCTGAAAACGCAGTGCTGCAAAGGATGCAAAACCCGGTAGGCGCCGCCGGTCATACAAGACAGTATAGGAAAAAACAAAACCTGGCTCATGTGCTTGATCAGCACTGATCGGCGCTGTGTCTGTGGTCAGAATGCGCATATCCAATGCCACGCACTTGTAAATGGTGCTGTCCTGCCTTTCCAGTGTAAGGTGCATGCCGGGGTACAACCCGTGTATCCTGCCGCCCAACACCCATTGATCAGTATACAATAAACTTTCAATGAATCGATTCGGTCCTACTGTGATGTCATCAGCATAGCGTTTGATCCACCGAAACTGATCAAGCAGCTGGGATGCTGCAAAACGCAGGTAGGGGGTGCCCTGCAGATCAGCAGCAAGAAAATCTGCGGCCGTTATGCAAGAAACCATTCTATCCTCTACGTCTACCATGGGGCCAGGGTAGACGGGTACTGCTGGTATGTTCCTGCCTATGCGTAACAATGGCAGGAACTGTTCCAAGAAATCCAGCTCATATGACACCAGGTACAAGTTTGCATAGTAAACAGCAGGATTTATCCCCATAGGTATGCCTGTCGTCTGGTGGTATACCGTATCTTCAAAACGCACGTACGCCTGCTGTATCAGCAGGCCAGACATAGTCTGAGCCTCGGCCAATGTCATCAAATGAAAGCCACCACAACAACTGTCAAATCCAGCCCTGTCATTATTCATGCGCCCCCTTGAAAAAATGCCTGCTTGTTCTGGTCTGCCATACACCAGGTATGCATGATCGATAGATGTATGCCAGACCGGTACAGACTTGTTTGCAAACACCTGCAATACTGCGGTCTGCTGTGAAGCCATGGTACCTTGACCTTGCCTAGATGCGTTGAGTGCAGGCAGCTGTTGAATCCATGCACGCTTAAGCAGTTGCCTGATGCGTGACAGTAGATCAGCCTTGTCAATGTTGGTGAAAAGCCGTACTACATCCCACGCCCGCCATCCGTGGCCATGCACATATGTGTCATAACGCATGCATGACAGGTTGAAACGCCGCAGTGTTTTGACAATGCCCTCGGAGTTGTGGCACATCCAAGGTCCGTCATTGGCCCAAGTACGGCCCATTGTGGTACTGTGTTATCAATGGCTGCACCTGCCTCCAACTGCACTACTGGCAGCCTGCAGAGATCTCTCATGCAGCAACCCATGTCACATGGCTGCGCATGCCTGCGCTCAACCAACTCTTGCAGGAGCCGCCGCATTAAAATTTACACAGCACCTTTGCAGCAGGCAGCTTGCATAGCGCCTCAACTGCATCCTGACACTTTCTGAGCTGCTTCATACTGGTGCAGGTCACTGTGCTGTGCAGAAGCCCTTCCACTGCTGCTGCCTCCAACTGCTGCGTGCCTGGCAGGCTGCACAGAGCTCTGACAGCATACCAGCAGCCGACAGCTGCCGCGTGCTGCAGCAGTCTCAGCACGTGCCCCCGCCCCCACCTGATGCAGCGCTACAGCATGCTTGCACAGCCGCCGCAGCGGAATGACATGCTGGTAGTGCGCTCTCCGGTCGTCCCTGAAGCTGCCTCCTAGAGAAAGGCTCTGCTTGCAGCACCCTAATGCCGGCTTGTAGTGCTGCCTGCAAGAGGCTAAGCGCGTCGCTGCTGCTGATCTGCGCTGACTGTTGATGCAGCAGCAGCGTGGAAGCAGGAGGCAGGTAGGTCCTAAGCTGTGCTGCGTCAGGGTCAGCGGGCTGTGGCAGCTGATGTGAACTTCCAAGCTCAGCTGCACTGGCTGCTGCCGGCAGTGTGGTGCGGCAAGCTGCTGCTAAGAAGTCTCGCGACAGTGCCAGGTGCAGGGCGCCAGCCAGCTGCTCAGGTGAGGGGACGTACCGGCCCTGCATACCAGCACCCATTGCTTCGTTGCTTCGACCAACAGTGCCATGTTACAGCAGCACTTCCAGGGGCAGCACATTTGACATGAACTTGCGGCTGCAAGTCTCTTGCTTGACACAGAGCAACATGCACCGCGGTTGTGCATGTTTAGCCTGGTGCTTGAAGCCAACTTCTTTCCAACAGCTGCCACCCATGCACTATCACATGGCCGTAGTATTCTGCTGGCCGCTACTTCAGCTGACGTCAGGTTGCTCATTGCGAGTCCCAACGTGCCTCGTTGTGCAGGACTGCTCATCACATCGACTGTTGACGAACAGCCCCCTTCAACCAGGCTGGCTCAAAGGCAGCTTTGCTGCTGAGGTTTCCTGTGCAGGCAATCGGCTGCAGCCCCTACGCTAGGGTGCTGATTGGCAGCAACCACTGGCAGCCCGTTCTCACCTGAGCCTCTTTCCAATGTTTCTGCTCCAGGCGCTGCTGCAGCGCTGCTGCATCTCTGACGTGGATGGGTATGCCTATCTCGTCCAATGTTACTCCCAGATGCAGCTACGCCGCCAGCCAGGTGTAACAGGCGACCCAAAATGGCTTGCCAATCTAGGGGATTTTGCCCTACTTAAGGAGTTGCAGACGCCTATATATAGTAACGGCTACGCATAGAGGCACAAGCCTCCCGTTACAGGCCTCCCCGGCCAAGTATTGACCTCCGGGCAATGCGCCTCTAGTCGGGTTCGAACCTGTGACCTCTCGCACCTGGAGTGACCCAGGATTCCGAATGGAACGCTCTAACCAGTGAGCTACGAGAGCCTATCTCAGCTACCAGCTGTAACAGGCGACCCAAAATGGCTTGCCAATCTAGGGGATTTTGCCCTACTTAAGGAGTTGCAGACGCCTATATATAGTAACGGCTACGCATCGTCCGGCGGGACGTAAAACACGTGGCTCAGTGGTTAGAGAGGCTGGCTCTCAACCAGGGCCTGGGTTAGGTCCCAGGTTCGATTCTGGGTCGGAACGGCGGCTGCAAAAAACTTGGCCGGCCCTCCTGTGTCGCCCTCCCCAGACGATTCGGTTCCCGGATCGATTCTCGGTTGCGGCATAGTTGGGTGGTAAGGGGATTTCGGAGGTTTGCCCCTTACCCCGACAGAAGAACCAGCGGTGGGCTGCCGGATTGCCGGCAGAAGAGTCCCGTTAAACACAGGGGGAATGGATTCGTTGCCTCCGGCCGACGTAGTCGGTTGACTCCATGAATTAACATGGAAAGCGGGATACCCAACCAGGGGTTGACAACCCTGGGGGTTCTTCTTCTACGCATCGTCCGGCGGGACGTTAAACACGTGGCTCAGTGGTTAGAGAGTCTGGCTCCTAATCTCGAGGTCTCGGGTTCGAACCTCGCTGACGTCGAAAGCGCTCTAAAATACTCGAGCGGCTCATTGGTGCGGCCCACCCACGTTGTCGCCCAATCGAGTGGTAGGGGGGTTTCGGTGGTTTACCCCCTACCCGGAGAGGAGAGGAGTCTGGGTAGACCATTCAAAGGTCGTGTACTGCGCACTGCAGTGCTTGAAATCCCGGACCCGCACACCTCTACTTTTCCTCTACGCATAGAGGCACAAGCCTCCCGTTACAGGCCTCCCCGGCCAAGTATTGACCTCCGGGCAATGCGCCTCTAGTCGGGTTCGAACCTGTGACCTCTCGCACCTGGAGTGACCCAGGATTCCGAATGGAACGCTCTAACCAGTGAGCTACGGTTGGTGACTGGACTGTATGTCATCAGTTACCTGCCGTCCTGACTAGAGTCTGTACGGTTGTCCTGAGCGATGCTCTTTACCAACTTGGTCTCATATCAGTGTATTGACTGAGGACAGTCAAAGTTCCTGATGGGGGAGGCCTGTAACAGGACCTGTTACTATCCATGTATTGGATGATTAGACTAAGTGACTCATACGTTCCTTATGAGGACACGCGGCAGTCAATGTGACATTGTACTGCCATGTTAGAACTACGCTGGCCTCGCAACGTAGGCGGTCTACAACAGCTTAAGCTGGGCCTCAGGCTTATCAATTGGTTAAAGCTATAACAGGCGACCCAAAATGGCTTGCCAATCTAGGGGATTTTGCCCTACTTAAGGAGTTGCAGACGACTATATATATAGTAACGGCTACGCATAGAGGCACAAGCCTCCCGTTACAGGCCTCCCCGGCCAAGTATTGACCTCCGGGCAATGCGCCTCTAGTCGGGTTCGAACCTGTGACCTCTCGCACCTGGAGTGACCCAGGATTCCGAATGGAACGCTCTAACCAGTGAGCTACGGTTGGTGACTGGACTGTATGTCATCAGTTACCTGCCGTCCTGACTAGAGTCAGTACGGTTGTCCTGAGCGATGCTCTTTACCAACTTGGTCTCATATCAGTGTATTGACTGAGGACAGTCAAAGTTCCTGATGGGGGAGGCCTGTAATAGGACCTGTTACTATCCATGTATTGGATGATTAGACTAAGTGACTCATACGTTCCTTATGAGGACACGCGGCAGTCAAAGTGACATTGTACTGCCATGTTAGAACTACGCTGGCCTCGCAATGTAGGCGGTCTACAACAGCTTAAGCTGGGCCTCAGGCTTATCAATTGGTTAAAGCTATAACAGGCGACCCAAAATGGCTTGCCAATCTAGGGGATTTTGCCCTACTTAAGGAGTTGCACACGCCTATATATATAGTAACGGCTACGCATAGAGGCACAAGCCTCCCGTTACAGGCCTCCCCGGCCAAGTATTGACCTCCGGGCAATGCGCCTTTAGTCGGGTTCGAACCTGTGACCTCTCGCACCTGGAGTGACCCAGGATTCCGAATGGAACGCTCTAACCAGTGAGCTACGAGAGCCTATCTCAGCTACCAGCTATAACAGGCGACCCAAAATGGTTTGCCAATCTAGGGGATTTTGCCCTACTTAAGGAGTTGCAGACGCCTATATATAGTAACGGCTACGCATAGAAAAACTGCTCCGGCTCTGCTTTGCCCACCCGGCCTTTGCTGGGCGCGGCCCGCGAGTCGCAAGCGACAGCATAGAAGACCGGCAGCGGCCTTACAGTGCTAGATCTAAAGCATTCAGCTCTTTTGACGGGCTGGCAGCTCCTGGACCTTGCACTAGGCGAGCAGCATCAGTCTGACGTGTGCAGTCGTTGGTGCCGCTTCTCTGGCACCTCCGATACCGCCTAGCTGCCTTCTCGACATCGTCTGGAATTTCAGAGGTTCATCTCGCGGGGCCTTTGTTGCAGCCCTGCGCCATTGCAGGCTGGTGTCGGAGCAGCATCGAAGGTTTGCAGCCCCTGCTGGATTGACGTCCTTAAGGCGTGCAGCCGTCCTCGAGTACGCAGCATCAGCAGTATCGTGTTTCTGTCTGGCGCGCTGCAGCATGCGACAGCCGCTAGCAGGCCCCTGACACAGTAGCAGCAGCAGCAGCGACAGTGTGGCAGAGCTCTGCCATGTCGCTGCATGCTCCAGAGTCTGGCAGCAACAGTCTCGCTGTGTACGGTTTCAGCAGGCAGTTGGGCTTGGTTTAGGGTGGCCTGCGCCGGAAGGCAGGTGTTGGTTCTGGCAGCTCTGTTATACTGCTGTTGGCAGGGTGTTGGCCTGGTCTAATGATCAGTAGCCATCTTTTACCCTTTTTTGCTCTCCAGGCAGTCTCTGTTTGGAGCGGGCTGATGGCATCACATATTGGACGCTATGCTGGGGCGTAGGTGTGTCTGGGCAGCACTCTGTTTACGCCCCTACATTGTTGTCCTCCTTTGGTGTTGTTCTAGCCTTTTGCCTGGTCTCACTTACTCAGTGCTTTGCATCCTGTGGTTGGTTGTGATGGTGCAGCTGCTTCATGTCATGTCATTGCCCCAGGGCCCTGCCATGTCATGGTGCAGCCGGGGTTGGTGCAACATGGTTTGCCGCTGCTACTGCCACCCTTCTTCTGAGCGTGCATTGTTGCTGTTGCTTTGATCCTTGCCCCTGGTCAGTTCAAGGTTGTCCGGCTTTGTTGATAGCCACTAGCATGCCACTGCAATATGTGGTTGCAGTGTCTGATTCTCAGCCCTACAGCCTTTTGCTGCTCAGTTACCCTCTTGTTGCCTCTAGTCCTCATCACCCTTAACGGGGTGACGCCCGGGGTGGTGTAGTGACTTGAGAGCCCAGCCTGCTCGCAGTGCCGGAAGTGCATGGCGGCCCTGTGCACTTTTAGCACTGCATGCCGTCACTGACACTGTTGGCAGCACTTGAGATTTCCATTGACACCAATTCTCCTCTGGAGGTACACTGACAACACTTGTGGGGGCAATACTGCGTGGAGTAAGGAAGGCGGCTGTGCATGCATGGCCAAATGCCGAAACTTACACACTGAGGCTTTTTCTAGGGGTGGGCCTCCTTTCGAGTGACGGCCCGCGCTGAGCTTTTAGCAATCTTTTCAACTCTGGTGCCCGTTGCGGCGTAGCTGCTTGAACGCACCTTGTAACCCCTTCTTCCGCTACGCATAGAGGCACAAGCCTCCCGTTACACCAGGTACGCACGCCAAGCACTCCCTGCCGCGCTGCTACTACTGCTTGGTCGTAGCTTATGCGCAGGCCAGCTGCTGCCAGCTGGCGGGTGACTGCTAGTGGCACCTCTGGGATGTTCAGCAGCTTGTTGACAAAGCTTGATCCATTGTCCTGAACACTGGCCATTCCATGCTGCTTACAGCTGCTGGCAGCGCTTGATCTGGCATTTCAATTACTTCCGCAGGTGCTGCTGGTGCTCTCCGTGCTGTCTGTGGCGCCTGGTGCTATCACTATCTCAAGGCCCGCTTTCTTTCAGCAGTCAGGTCACTGCTTGCACACACTGCTGCTGGCTGTACTCTCTACAACTGCTCTGCTGACCATGGCATGTGCTGCAGCACTGCTGCTGTAGAGCTGCTGCAACTTGCACTGCTGTTACCAGCAGCTGGCGTGCTGCATGCCTGGCGTGGCCCATGCACAGCAGTTGCCTGCTGAGGCTTGACAATGCCTCGTTGCTGGTCATGGCGCGGGCCGCATCAATGGGATGCATGTACGTGAAACAGAACTTGAAGACTTCATGCGTGAATGGTGATAAATGGGAATGCTTCGACGCTGTGCGGTGTCTGTCGTCATGACCCTGCAGCTGAGCTGCAGCTGCGCAGCAGCTGCTGCTCTGGTGGGCTGGCCAGCCATGGAGTCCAGGTCAGCCATTGGGCTGCTGCTTGGTGGACAATGGTGTACTTTGTGGGTTGGGGGTTGGAGCGCTCCTGACGTATACTTCAAAGAGCGGCTGCGGAGTGCACAATGGACACCATGCTGCTGTGCAGCCTGCATGCATGCATGCTGTGCCAATGTCACATTGGCATGAGGCCCCCAAGCGGCATGCCTAAACACTGGTGGCATGCTATGAAGTTGCAGATACTGTTGCCTGCTGTTGCACAGGAAACGGTGTACTACTCGCGACTGTCAGGGGCCCTCGGTCTGTAGATGCACTCCATTGAACGAGCTCAGTCGAATCTCATTACACGCCCTTCAAAGCCTTCTCGATCCGTCCGTGTGGATAGAACGTTAACGCTTACCAGCATTTAGCTTTGCGTTGAATATTTACCGCTGCAACCTGATGCTGCTTTCGCAAACACGAGGACCCTGCTGTCGCAGTTGCTCACCGTTGTACTGGGTGCTCAGCCGTAATTATATGAAAAAATATTTCTTTTGCGAGTCAACAGGTAGGACAGACGAAGTGTCCTCCTGATGGCGGTACAAGTGAATCTTTGAATGCGGGACGCAGTGCCCAGGCTACATGGTGGTGAAGAACAGTAGGGATCACCGTAAGGCATAGCAAGGATGCATATTCTTAACATCTCACATCTGTCCCGCATGCACCGCCTGCAAGGCAGCAAGGTCATGTCTGTGCAGGTCCCGTCAGAGCAGCACAAGGCAGCAGCTAATTGGACACCTGTCCTGCAAGCACTCCCGCAGGATGCATGACGACCAGGAGCAGGCCGCTATCAACCCTGGTTTGTTGTACTGCAATACCTGCATCCAGATGTCTGCAGGCTTGCCAGGAGTGTCTGTGTAACCTGCTGCCTGGTTGTCAGCATGCTGTGCAGAGCGGCAAGCGTGCCTTGGTCCTGCAAAGTACCTTGACCCAGCAACTGCAGCAGCTGCCGACCAACCTGCTGCGGCAGGAGAGTGCAGCAGTTTTGACTCCCTCAGCAACGCAGTGCAGCGCAGCAGCTCCCCCTGGTTCAGTGGATTGGCCCAGGAGCTGCTGGTGCATGTGATGCGCCATGTGGCACAGCTGCCTCGCCTAGGCCCCTGCAGCCTTATGTGCAACTCATGGTGTTCGGCAGCAGCTACCAGCACAGTAAATAGTGGCAGGAATGTTTTAT